CTCCAGCTCATCTATCGCGTCTACGCCTGCAGCGTTTTGGTAGCCCATGGAACAAAGGAATAGGGTACGGTATGAACAGGGGAACAGCTGAGTCGGAGTTGAAGTAATATTTGAAGTCGAAATCAAGGTTAGTAACTGTTGATCTGATGTCCAGAGGTGCTTGGCGGTCATGTGTGATAATAGGATAAACTTTCAGTACCAAAAAAGTTACGATAAACATGAAAAAAAGTCACTTAATAGCAAAGTTGGGTTGGAACTCGTAAGATATTGCCCTTCTCTGTCGGCACCATCTTCTGTCCAAGAAATCGTGCAGTATGACTAACAAAAACAATAAAACATCAAAATGTGTATCAAGTCTGTAGTGCATATATATTAAAAACATAATAAATCAAATCAAATCAAAATGTTAATTGTCACATACACGTGTTTAGCAGATGTTGTGGCGGGTGTAGCGAAATGCTTGTGCTTCTAGCTCCGACAGTGCAGTAATATCTAACAATTAATATCTAACAATTTCACAACATATACCCAATACACACAAATCTAAGCAAGGAATGGAATTAAGAATATATACATATATGGATGAGCAATGACAGAGCGGCATGGACTAAGATACAATCTTGTCCCTGATATCCTTGGAGAGTTTGGAATCTGATTGATTGATTGCTTCTGTGGACAGGTGTCTTTTATACAGGTAACAAACTGAGATTAGGAGCACTCCCTTTAAGAGTGTGCTCCTAATCTCAGCTCGTTACCTGTATAAAAGACACCTGGGAGCCAGAAATCTTTCTGATTGAGAGGGGGTCAAATACTTATTTCCCTCATTAAAATGCAAATCAATTTATAACATTTTTGACATGCGTTTTTCTGGATTTTGGTGTTGTTATTCTGTCTCTCACGGTTCAAATAAACCTACCATTAAAATTATAGACTGATCATGTCTTTGTCAGTGGGCAAAGGTACAAAATCAGCAGGGGATCAAATACTTTTTTCCCTCACTCAATGAGGGTGAGTAATGCAAGATATGTAAACATTATTAAAGTGACTAGTGTTCCATTTCTTAAAGTGGCCAGTGATTTCAATAGGCAGCAGCAGCCTTTAATGTGCTAGTGATGGCTATTTAACAGTCTGATGGCCTTGAGATAGAATCTGTAATTCAGTCTCTCGGTCCCAGCTTTGATGCACCTGTATTGACCTCGCCTTCTGGATGATCGCGGGGTGAACAGGCGGTGGTTCGGGTGGTTGATGTCCTTGATGATCTTTTTTTGGTCTTCCTGTGACATCGGGTGCTTTAGGTGTCCTGGATGGCGGGTAGTCTGCCCCCGGTAATGCGTTCGGCAGACCGCACCACCCTCTGGAATGCCTTGTGGTTGCGGGCGGTGCAGTTGCCGTACAAGCCGGTGATACAGCCCAACAGGATGCTCTAAATTGTGCATCTGTAAAAGTTTTTTAGGGTTTTAGGTGCCAAGCCAAATTTCTTCAGCCTCCTGAGGTTGAAAAGGCTCTGTTGCGCCTTCTTCACCACACTGTCTGCATGGGGGGACCATTTTAGTTTGTCAGTGATGTTTACGCCAAGGAACTTGAAGCTTTCTACCTTCTCCACTGCAGTCCCGTCAATGTGGATAGGGGGGTGCACCCTCTGCTGTTTCCTGAAGTCCACGATCATCTCCTTTGTTTTGTTGACATTAAGTGAGAGGTTATTTTCCTGGCACCACACTCTCAGAGCCCTCACCTCCTCCCTGTATGTTGTCTCGTCATTGTTGGTAATCAAGCCTATCACTGTTGTGTCGTCTGCAAACTTGATGATTGAGTTGGAGGCATGCCTGGCCACGCAGTCATGGGCGAACAGGGAGTACAGGAGGGGGCTGAGCCCGCACCCTTGAGGGGCCCCAGTGTTGAGGATCAGCGATGTTGAGATGTTGTTTCCTACCTTCACTACCTGGGGGTGGTCCGTCAGGAAGTCCAGGACCCAGTTGCACAGGGTGGGGTTCAGACCCAGGGCCTCAAGCTTAATGATGAGCTTAGAGGGTACTATGGTGTTGAATGCTGAGCTATAGTCAATGAACAGCATTCTTAAACAGGTATTTCTCTTGTCCAGATGGGATAGGGCAGTGTGCAGTGTGATGGCGATTGCTTCGTCTGTGGATCTATTGGGGCAGTAAGCAAATTGAAGTGTGTCTAGGGTGACAGGTAAGGTAGAGGTGATATGATCCTTGACTAGTCTCTCAAAGCACTTCATGATGACAGAGGTGAGTGCTACGGGGCGATAGTCATTTAGTTCAGTTACCATTGCTTTCTTGGGTACAGGAACAATGGTGGCTATCTTGACGTATGTGGGGACAGCAGACTGGGATAGGGAGAGATTGAATATGTCCGTAAACACACCAGCCAGCTGGTCTGCGCATGCTCTGAGGACGCGGCTAGGGATATCATCTGGGCCGGCAGCCTTGCGGGGGTTAACATGCTTAAACGTCTTACTCACATCGGCCACGGAGAAGGAGAGCCCACAGTCCTTGGTAGTGGGCCACGTCGTTGGCACTGTGTTATCCTCAAAGCGGGCGAAGAAGGTGTTTAGCTTGTCCGGAAGCAAGACGTCAGTTTCGGCGACGTGGCTGGTTTTCCTTTTGTAGTCCGTGATTGTTTGTAGACCCTGCCACATACATCTTGTGTCTGAGCCGTTGAATTGCGACTCAACTTTGTCTCTATACTGATGTTTTGCCTGTTTAATTGCCTTGCCGATTGAGTAGCTACACTGTTTGTATTCTGCTAAATTCCCAGTCACCTTGCCATGGTTAAATGTGGTGGTTTCGCGTGAATGCTGCCATCTATCCATGGTTTCTGGTTAGGGCAGGTTTTAATAGTCACAACTTTTTTAATTTTTTATTTAACCTTTATATAACTAGGCAAGTCAGTTAAGAACAAATTCTTATTTACAATGACGGCCTACATCTCCTATACACTTCCTGATAAACTCGCCTAAATTATTTTCTCAAGCTACCCGGAACATATCCCAGTCCGCGTGATCAAAACAATCTTGAAGCGTGGATTCTGATTGGTCAGACCAGCTTTGAATAGTCCTTAGCACGGGTACTTCCTGTTTGAGTTTCTGCCTATAGGAAGGGAGGAGCAAAATGGAGTCATGGTCAGATTTGCCGAAAGGATGGTGGGGGAGGGCCTTATAACCATCCCGGAAGTTCAAATAGCAATGGTAGAGAATTTTTGCAGCCCATGTACAACAGTCAATATGTTGATAGAACTTCAGTAGCCTAGTCCTCAAATTTGAAAAATCCCTGGCTACAATAAATGCAGCCTCAGGATATGTGGTTTCCAGTTTGCATAAAGTCTAGTGAAGTTCTTTGAGGGCTGTCGTGGTATCGGCTTGTGGGGGGATATACACGGCCGTGACTATAACTGAATAAAATTATTATTATTATTTTCCCAGCTGTATGTAATGATACAAAACACTTTCTGTGCTAATAATGTAAAAAATAATAAATAAATAAACAAAATACTGCAAAGTTTCCTAAGAGCTAATCGCGAGCCCGCCATCTTCGTCGGCGCCAGGTTCAGGTTTAAAAGCATAATAACTCTTTTATTAAGTGGAGGAATTGTCCTTTTGACTTGTAGCTAGTGTAACGCAATTAAGAACGTGCCATAAATTCACTCCACAGCTAGCTTGAAATGTCCAGGATGGAGCCATCCAGTCGGTAGCTATCAGGTGGTTCAACCGGTTGGAATATTGTCAAGTAGAGGCTCACTGGTTTGAGCCCAGTATGGGGCAGTCGGTTGGTGAAGGAAGCTAAGCTGTTAGCAGCACGAGAGAGACTACAAGGACACAGCCAACACTTAAACCAAAACCTAACCTTAACCTAATTTAAAAAATGGTGTGTCCTTTATAGCCTTTCCATTACAGCACACACTGACCCTCGTTATACTAGTCTGGCTCTCTACTACCCCCGTGTGGCTTGAAATTGCTTTAGACTTCAGATCTAGTTTGAGGGTCCATGCCATGCGGCATCCTTGCGACGTCCCTACCCCTGTTGAAATTTAAAATTGTCAAGGGTCAAGATTAGGGTTAGGTTAGGTTATGGTTATGATTTAGGTTAGGGCTGTCCCAAGGATCACGGATAGCACTGAACGTAGTGAGAATTACTAGACCTGGATGAATATAGCCTATCGGTTTTATATGGGGGAAAAAAAACTTGGGGCTGACATCAAACATGCTTATTTTTTATTTATTTTTTATTTAACAGTAACATGAAAAACACAAAAAACAGAACAGCCAGAGGGATTACAAAAATAAATGAGGAGAGAAAACTATATATAAAAAAAAACACAAATCCACATTACATCAAATCAAATACAGACATGTAATGAATAAATTTTTTGGAGATTTTGTTTTGAATACGTTTTAATAGTGCTAAATAGTTTTCCAAATCTGATAAAAATAAATAAAAAAGGGGCTTTTTCTTCATTCATTTCGATTAGTAAATGAAATATTTTCCTAATAAAATAAAGAGATTAACGACATACTGACGTTCAATTGTGGAATCAGTGTAGTAAAATAATATGTCAAACTTAGATATTTCAATGGTTGTATGCATTTTGTTGCCAAGATATAGTTGTACATCAGTCCAGAACACCTCACTATGTGAACAATTACAAAATAAGTGTTCAATAGATTCCGTTTCTAGTTCACAAAAACTGCATTCACTAGTAACATCAGGTATATATTTAGAAATGTAAATGTAATGTAAATCAGGCTATTACACGGGTAGAATCTATGGATAATCTTAAAGGAGATCTCCTTTACTTTATTGGTCACCATACATTTGTGTGGAGTGAGCAAGAGGCGCCAGTTTAGATCAAACGATAAAGCCCAATAAAATATAGCACAAACATGCTTCTTCCATAGCCTATATTTGTCTAGGTCTAATAATTCTCGCTAGCCGGCCGGAACTATGAACAAGTCCAATTGTTTCCACCCGGAGGGATTTATTGGTCGAAATATTTGAGCTGTTTACAAACCAGAAAACCACACACTTGTTATCTGTAAATTGTGTTGTTAATTAGCCAACGTAAGGGCATTCAAATAACACAATAAACTCAAACTTTGACAGTTATTTATCCAAAGGTGAGATGGCAGCATCGGGGCTGGACGATTTGAATTTTACAATGAAAGAGATAACCGGCACGCGCCAGTCAGTCTCGGGCAGCGCAAGTGACGAATCGTCCACTGCCAGTGTTGTGCCTGAGAGCTCGTCGATTCTTTCCATATCAGAAGAGAATAAACTCGTCTGTGTGGAATATCCAGGTATTATCTCCAATGTGGACAAGATGCTGGAAAGTATTGGGGGTATACAAGGAGTGTCCAAGGTGAGTAAGCAACTCAAGCTAGCTAGCCACACACGTCAATCAGCGCATGCGCGACTTGTCAGTCGCTAGCTAGTTAGCTACGTTACTCTGCTTGCAATGTTTATGCATGTATATAGCTAGCTACATTTACATTTACATCATTTAGCAGACGCTCTTATTCAGAACGACTTACAAATAGGTGCATTCAACTTATGATAGCCAGTGGGACAACCACCTAGATACATGTCTTAATGAGATAAATGTTATCATTCACACCATATTAGTTGACTGTAGGTAACAGGTGCTAGCTAGCTAGTTCAGCCATGCATACCTACTCACATGTTGTTGTTCCCGTAATCACCACCACTATTTGTATTGTTCATAATAATGATGATGATGATGAACTAAACAGGAAGTGTTTCTCCACAGACCTATGCTGACCCCAGCAGGCGGTTGGAGCTCCGCTTTCGTCCTCAGGACCCGTTCTGTCACCCTGTCTGTGGAAACCGTTTCCCCTCCACCAACCTGCTGCTGCGCATGAAAAGGAGGGTGCGCAAAGGCAACCCCAAGGAGGCCCAAATCAACATGGACATCCTGGGTGTCATCGGGACAACATACAAATTCCAAGGTTCATCTTCTTAAACGCCAAACACTTGAGTGTCTGTGACCCCTTTATATCGCTTTATGATTCCTTTCCATTGCCTCCCTACTCTGATCTGTGCTGTTATTACTCTTCATTGTGTATTTGTTGATGTAAGTTGGACACAGAGTGAATAGAACATTAAGAACACCTCTTTCCATGACATAGACTGACCAGGTGAATGCTATGATCCTTTATTGAGGCCATTTGTTAAATCCACTTCAGTGAGTGTAGATGAAGAGGAGGAGATGGGTTAAAGAAGGATTTCTAAGCCTTGAGACAATTGAGACATGGATTGTGTATGTGTGCCATTCAGAGGGTGAATGGGCAAGACAAAAGATCTAAGTGCCTTTGAACGGGGTATGGTAGTAGGTGCCAGGCGCACCGGTTTGTGTCAACAACTGCAACGCTGCTGGGTTTTTCATGCTCAACTGTTTCCCGTGTGTATCAAGAATGGTCGACCACACAAAGGACATCCAGCTTACTTGACACAACTGTAGGAAGCATTGGAGTCAACATGTGCCAGCATTCCTGTGGAATGCTTTCGACACCTTGTAGAGTCCATGCCCTGACGAATTGAGGCTGTTCTGAGGGCAAAAGTGGGGGGTGCAACTCAATATTAGGAAGGTGTTCTTAATGTTTTGTACACTCAGTGTATATTGTTAATTGTTGCAGGGATGGCAGACTTCCAGTATCTTGCGGTACATTCAGCAAAGGACGGCTCACATACATCCCTCTACGATAAGATCATCTTGCGTAAACCAGAGAATAATGAGTTCTTTGAGCAGCCGGTGCCCCTCTTCCTTCCTCCACCCATCTTCTCTCGCCTGGACAGTGCTGTGGACTATAACTACCGACCTGAAATCCAACACAAGTAAGCAGGGGCACTGGGGCAGGAGTGGGAGCAGCACATTTTCACCCTCATCAGAGGTAGTGTGTTCAGCTCAGAAATAAATATGCCAATGGAAGTCAACATGTAGTGTGTCAACAATAATGCGTAAGAATTCCCAACAACTTTACACAATGGTGTGTTCAACAACAGGAGCAAGACAAGAAGCCCCTTATTTAGTTATAAAGATGCAGGTGCTAATAGATGTGGCCATTGGCCAACCCATAGGGGTTATTAGCTAAACCATTGTGGACTTGTGTCTTCTGTGCAGAGAAGGCCATTGTCCCCCGACAGTCTCCAGGGATAATTTGATTGGTTTGAGTCGAGCCCGTCGGCCTCACAACGCCATCTTCCTCAACTTTTATGACCAGAACATCCCCACGGAGCCCCTGGAGGCTGCCAAGGTCAACTGGAAGAGAGTGTGTGTTCACCCCAGTGACATAAAGGCAGAGGAACAACTGAAGAAGGTCAGTATACTTTGCATTGGGCTTCTGAGGTTTATTCACAAGCCATTGTGAAGACTGCATGAAGTCGAACGCAGGGGGGGGATGTCTTCACGTTTTAAACTCTTCTTGTATTATTGATCATCACAGATGTGTTAATCACATATACATAGGAACATAGCTTTTTTTCAGTTTGAGCCTTTTGGTTTTTATCGTAATGCTATTTCAAGACCGAAGCGTTTACTTAAGTGTTAGCCTATAGGCTAGTTTGTATTTGATATCTCTGATTTAGAGGGAATTACAATGGACACTCTCAGACCTTGATGACGTTACCCATTTTTTTTGTTCTTGTTGGCCAACAGTTTACCCACCTTTTGCGGAAAAATACATTGAAAGTATAGGGAGCTTTACGTTTTTCACCGCGACCGGTGATCAGAGTTTACCCGCCTATTTTTTTTTACCGCTACATCATTGACGTTACCTGCCCACCTATATTTTTTACATCACCATGTACAGAGGATGTTCCTATGGTATTTTTATATGGAAAATGTACACATGGGAAATGTTACGTACATTGCTTTGATATCCCATCTGTGTTATCTTTTCCCAAACCACATTGTGTGTAGATGTTTGAGAGCCGGCCCATCTGGTCCGGGTACGCGGTCAAGGCCAACCTGGACATCCACCCTGATAAACTGAAGCTGCTGCTCCCTATCGTGGCCTACTATATGGTGAGGAGACCTAGACCAGTCAATGGAAAAAGCAACAGGAAACACCTCCAAAAATAGCGTATGTCTGCTTTCTAACTGTCACCATGGATACTACAGCCCAAGCTCAAGGTCACATACCTGTATACCATTCACCAGGATGCCAATTGTTTGGCAGTCTGCATATTCCCTGAGACCTAACTAATCTATATGGGGAGGAGTCCTAAACCAGTCGGGGGTCAATGAAGGGAAATAGGGCATCTCACCATTTACATGCCATGTCTTATTCAATTCACTTGAATTTAAATTAACCTCTTGAGGGAAGTAGAAATGGATGGTGGTGAGAGAGAGAAAGAAGACGCAAACATGAACATCTATTTGATCAATATTTGATTAATAGAATATTAAATAAAAAGGTACAGTGTGAGTCCTCGCAATGAAATCATCGAGTGAGTCAACGGAACAACCCATTGTTCTTAAATGCCATACAAATTCCATCAAAACCTGATATGTGTGTCCTCTAGGTGACAGGCCCCTGGAGGAGCCTCTGGGTGAGATTTGGCTACGACCCCTGCAAGACACCAGAGGCCAAGAAATACCAGGTGCTGGACTTCAGGATCCGCTGCAGTACCAAGCACGGTGAGGAGTGGGGGCAGGGTGGAGTTTAATTCAAACTAATCTGGAGGGACAATTTAATCCTACACCCTTTGTTAATCCAGTCATCATGCATTGTTTTATGAGACCGTGTTTTCCCCCCTGTGACTGTCTTTAGGATATACTATAAATGACATGCCAGTGAAGGCCAAGAGGAGCACGTTCAACTATACCCTGCCAATCACAGTTAACAAAGCAGGTGAGCAACTGGGCATATGTCTGGCGCCGGAGAAGATGGCTGCCGTTTTACAAATTGTACTATTATTTGTAATTTATTCTGTACATAATGTTTCTGCCAACATCTCTTATGACCAAAAAGAGCTTCTGGATATCAGGACAGCGAATACTCACCTTGTATTGGATAAAGATTTTTTCTTCAACGAGTCGGACGCGAAGGATATCCTACAGACACCCGGCAAGGCCCAAATCCCCGTAATTCGCATGAGAAAGAGACGGAGATATCGTGGACGTAGGTCATGGTGCCTTGTAAGGATCCAACGGCGAGCGAGTAAATTGCCTCTTCCATCAATCCTATTAGCCAATGTTCAATCATTTGAAAACAAATTGGATGACCTAAGATTAAGGTTATCCTACCAACGGGACATAAAAATCTGTAATATCTTATGTTTCACCGAGTCGTGGCTGAACGACGGCATGGACAATATACAGCTGATGGGATATACGCTACATCGGCAGGATAGAACGGCTGACTCCGGTAAGACAAGGAGTGGCGGTCTGTGTATATTTGTAAACAACAGCTGGTGCATAAAATCTAATACTAAGGAAGTCTCAAGGTTTTGCTCGCATGAGGTAGAGTATCTCATGATAAGCTGTAGAACACACTATTTACCAAGATACTTTTCATCTATATTTTTCGTAGCTGTCTATCTACCAGCACAAACCGATGCTGGCATTAAGATTGCACTCAATGAGCTGTGTAAGTCCATAAGTAAACAGGAAAACACTCATCCAGAGGCAGCGTTCCTAGTGGCCTGGGACTTTAATGCAGTTAAACTTAAATCCGTTCTACCTAATTTCGACCAGCATGTTAAATGTGCAACCAGAGGAAAAAAAACTCTACACCACCTTTACTCCACACACAGAGACGCATACAAAGCTCTCCCTCGCCCTCCATTTGGCAAATCTGACCATAACTCTATCCTCCTGATTCCAGTTTATAAGCAAAAACTAAAGCAGGAAGCACCAGTAACTCGGTTAATAAAAAAGTGGTCAGATGACGCAGATGCTAAGCTACATGACTGTTTTGCTAGCACAGACTGGAATATGTTCCGGGATTCTTCAGATAGCATTGAGGAGTACACCACATCAGTCACTGGCTTCATCAATAAGCGCATTGATGACGTCGTCCCCACAGTGACCGTACGTACCCCAACCGGAAGCCATGGATTACAGGCAACATCCGCACTGATCTAAAGGGAAGAGCTGCCGCTTTCAAGGAGCGGGACTCTAATCCGGACGCTTATAAGAAATCCTGCTATGCCCTCCGACGAACCATCAAACAGGCAAAGAGTCGATACAGGACTAAGATTGAATCGTACTACACCGGCTCTGACGCTCGTCGGATGTGGCAGTGCTTGAAAACTATTACAGACTTCAAAGGGAAGCACAGCCGCGAGCTGCCCAGTGACACAAGCCTACCAGACGAACTAAATCACTTCTATGCTCGCTTCGAGGCAAGCAACACTGAAGCATGCATGAGAGCACCAGCTGTTCCGGATGACTATGCGATACGCTCTCCGTAGCCAATGTGAGTAAGACTTTTAAGCAGGTCAACATTCACAAGGCCGAAGGGCCAGATGGATTACCAGGACGTGTACTCTGAGCATGTGCTGACCAACTGGCAAGTGTCTTCACTGACATTTTCAACATGTCCCTGACTGAGTCTGTAATACCAACATGTTTCAAGCAGACCACCATAGTCCCTGTGCCCAAGGACACTAAGATAACCTGCCTAAACGACTACCGACCCGTAGCACTCACGTCTGTAGCTATGAAGTGCTTTGGAAGGCTGGTCATGGCTCACATCAACACCATTATCCCAGAAACCCTAGACCCACTCAATTTGCATACCGCCCCAACAGATCCACAGATTATGCAATTTCTATTGCACTCCACACTGCCCTTTCCCACCTGGACAAGAGGAACACCTACGTGAGAATGCTATTAATTGACCACAGCTCAGCGTTCAACACCATAGTGCCCTCAAAGCTCATCACTAAGCTAAGGATCCTGGTACTAAACACCTCCCTCTGCAACTGGATCCTGGACTTCCTGTTGGGTCGCCCCCAGGTGGTAAGGGTAGGTAACAACACATCTGCCACACTGATCCTCAACACAGGGGCCCCTCAGGGGTGCGTTCTCAGTCCCCTCCTGTACTCTCTGTTCACCCATGATTGCATGGCCAGGCACGACTCCAACACCATCATTAAGTTTGTTGATGACACAACAGTGGTAGGCCTGATCACCGACAACGATGAGACAGCCTATAGGGAGGAGGTCAGAGACCTGGCCGTGTGGTGCCAGGATAACAACCTCTCCCTCAATGTGATCAAGACAAAGGAGAATATTGTGGACTACAGGAAAAAAAAAAAAAGAGGACTGAGCATGCCCCCATTCTCATCGACGGGGCTGTAGTGGAGCAGGTTGAGAGCTTCAAGCTTGGTGTCCACATCACCAATGAACTGTAATGGTCCAAATACAAAGAGGGCACAACAAAGCCTATTCCCCCTCAGGAGACTGAAAAGATTTGGCATGGGTCCTCAGATCCTCAAAAAGTTATACAGCTGCACCATCGAGAGCATCCTGACTGGTTGCATCACCGCCTGGTATGGCAACTGCTCGGCCTCCGACCGCAAGGCACTACAGAGGGCCCAGTACCTCACTGGGGCCAAGCTTCCTGCCATCCAGGACCTCTATACCAGGCGGTGTCAGAGGAAGGCCCTCAAAATTGTCAAAGACTCCAGCCACCCTAATCATAAACTGTTCTCTCTGGTACCGCATGGCAAGCGGTACCGGTGAGCCAAGTCTAGGTCGAAAAGGCTTCACAGCAGCTTCTACGCCCCAAGCCATAAGACTCCTGAACAGCTAATCATGGCTACCAGGACTATTTTCACTGCCTCTTTTACGCTGCTGCTACTCTGTTTATTATTTATGCATAGTCACTTTAACTCTACACACGTACATATTACCTCGATTACCTCGACTAGCCGGTGCCCCCGCACATTGACTCTGCACCGGTACCCCCCTGTATATAGTCTCCCTACTGTTATTTCTATTTTACTGCTGCTCTTTAGTTATCTGCTTTTCTTTTTTACTTAACACTTTTTTTATTTAACTTTTTTATTTAAAGAAAAAAATCCATTGTTTGTTAAGGGCTTGTAAGTAAGCATTTCACTGTAATGTCTACACCTGTTGTATTCGGCACAGGTGGCAAATAACATTTGATTTGATTTGTGTGTTACTGGGTCTGTGTTTGCCTGTGTGTGTGCATTAGTGATGATTTTCTCGCTAATGTTCCTCTTTATTGTTCAGTGCCCCAGGCTGCTAATGTGACAGATTTACCCCCTGAGGGCCCTGCCGGTGGACGTAGTGCTAATATAACCAGGTACCAGCTCAAGGTAAGAGACTAAAAACTTCACCACAATTTGCTCACTCTCTACATGTTATACTGTACTCACAAGAATATCACAGTAATAAGACCTCGCATGCTAACCCCCCTCTACCCTGTCTCCTGTTTGTCCAGGATTCCTCATACATATTCCGAGATGGGACCCTGCCCCCCCACAGGCAGATGTTCTACCAGCTCTGTGATCTGGACGTGGAGAGGTAAGATCCAACATTGTATACAGGCGATTCCATTAGAGATTGTCCCAAAAATATTGATAATGTTTTGTATCTTCCTGAAATAAAGTCCATAGAAAGGTTCTTTGGGGGAAGGATGTTTGGCATAACTTTGAAATCTGTATCCAAACTAATTATGTTTAACATTTTGGCCTTACCAGGTCTTCTTTAAGACATTACAACGGTGAGTCTGTAGATGCTACAAAGCCAGTGTTAGTGTCATTTGAACCGTAATGTGTGCTCTGAAATATGAGTAGTGCTGAGATTAAGAATACAAATTCTATACATTAATTTATGGATCATAAAAAATATAAATGTACATTTCTTAAAAGTACCCTTTGTGATTTTCAGTATTTGGCATATTGTTTTAGACAATATACTCTACAACTACATCACATTTCCAGAGTGGGCTATCTGCTACTTTTTAAGTTATGATACATTTTATGAGCAACACCAACACATTGAATTTGAGAATGGATTCAAAGGAACTCCCTCTGCTGGTGACTTGCTGAATGTGCAATCCTAAATGAGGGCTGTGATTGGCCTATAATTTAAATAAATAAAATGGGTCAGATCACACAGTAAGGTTTCAAATGACACCAAGAATGGCTTTGTAGCATATAAACATAAATCCCACATTTTGTTGTTTAACAGCCTGAATTCAAAAGGAATTAAATTGATTATTTTTCTCACCCATCTACACACAATACCCCATAATGACAAAGTCCCCAAAATGTTCAGATTCTTTTAGCAAATTTATTGAAAATGAAATACAGAAATATTTCATTTACATACAGTGAGGGAAAAAAGTATTTGATCCCCTGCTGATTTTGTACGTTTGCCCACTGACAAAGAAATGATCAGTCTATAATTTTAATGGTAGGTTTATTTGAACAGTGATAGACAGAATAACAACAAAACAATCCAGAAAAATGCATGTTAAAAATGTTATAAATTGATTTGCATTTTAATGAGGGAAATAAGTATTTGACCCCCTCTCAATCAGAAAGATTTCTGGCTCCCAGGTGTTTTTTATACAGGTAACGAGCTGAGATTAGGAGCACACTCTTAAATGGAGTGCTCCTAATCTCAGCTTGTTACCTGTATAAAAGACACCTGTCCACAAAAGCAATCAATCAATCAGATTCCAAACTCTCCACCATGGCCAAGACCAAAGAGCTCTTCAAGGATGTCAGGGACAAGATTGTAGACCTACACAAGGCTGGAATGGGCTACAAGACCATCGCCAAGCAGCTTGGTTAGAAGGTGACAGTTGGTGCGATTATTCGCAAATGGAAGAAACACAAAAGAACTGTCAATCTCACTCAGCCTGGGGCTCCATGCAAGATCTCACCTCGTGGAGTTGCAATGATCATGAGAACGGTGAGGAATCAGCCCAGAACTACACGGGAGGATCTTGTCAATGATCTCAAGGCAGCTGGGACCAGAGTCACCAAGAAAACAATTGGTAACACACTACGCCGTGAAGGACTGAAATCCTGCAGCGCCCGCAAGGTCCCCCTGCTCAAGAAAGCACATATACAGGGCCGTCTGAAGTTTGCCAATGAACATCTGAATGATTCAGAGGAGAACTGGGTGAAAGTGTTGTGGTCAGTTGAGACCACAATCAAGCTCTTTGGCATCAACTCAACTCGCCGTGTTTGGAGGAGGAGGAATGCTGCCTATGACCCCAAGAACACAATCCCCACCGTCAAACATAGAGGTGGAAACATTATGCTTTGGGGGTGTTTTTCTGCTAAGGGGACAGGACAACTTCACGCATCAAAGGCACGATGGACGGGGCCATGTACTGTCAAATCTTGGGTGAGAACCTCCTTCCCTCAGCCAGGGCATTGAAAATGGGTCGATGATGGGTATTCCAGTATGACAATGACCCAAAACACACGGCCAAGGCAACAAAGGAGTGGCTCAAGAAGAAGCACATTAAGGTCCTGGAGTGGCCTAGCCAGTCTCCAGACCTTAATCCCATAGAAAATCTGTGGAGGGAGCTGAAGGTTCGAGTTGCCAAACGTCAGCCTCTAAACCTTAATGACTTGGAGAAGATCTGCAAAGAGGAGTGGAACAAAATCCCTCCTGAGATGTGTGCAAACCTGGTGGCCATCTACAAGAAACGTCTGACCTCTTTGATTGCCAACAAGGGTTTTGCCACCAAGTACTAAGTCATGTTTTGCAGAGGGGTCAAATACTTATTTCCCTCATTAAAATGCAAATCAATTTATAACATTTTTGACATTTATTTTGTTGTTATTCTGTCTCTCACTGTTCAAATAAACCTACCATTAAAATTATAGACTGATCATGTTTTTGTCAGTGGGCAAACATACAAAATCAGCAGGGGATCAAATACTTTTTTCCCTCACTGTAAGTATTCACACCCCTTAGTCAATACTATAGAAGCGTCTTTGGCATTGATTACAGCTGTGAGTCTTTCTGGGCAAGTCTCTAAGAGCTTTCCACACCAGGATTGTGCAACATTTGCCCATTATTATTTTCAAAATTATTCAAGCTCTGTCAAATTGGTTGTTGATCATTGCTAGACAACCATTTTCAGGTCTTGTCATAGATTTCAAGTAGATTTAAGTCAAAACTGTAACTCGCCCACAATGTTCACGTTGTTCTTGGTAAGCAACTCCAGTGTAGATTTGGCCTTGTGTTTTAGGTTATTGTCCTGTTAAAAGGTGAATTCATCTCCCAGTATCTGTTGGTTAAGCAGACTGAACCAGGTATTCCTCTAGGACAGGGGTGTCAAACGTCCGGCCCGCGGGCCGGATCAGGCCCGCAAACGGGTTTAATCCGGCCCGCGAGATGATTTTGTAAAGTATAAAAATGCCCTGCAATTTTTCAATAAAATAAACTGCTGTTCCAATTGCGTCCACTGGATGGCGCAATATCAATTGTGTTAAGCAAGCAAACTGTTTATACCGGGGCAGAGCAAGTAGGTCAAGTCTGTGTTTACTCACAGCCGAGACATCAGTGACGCTGCAGTGAAAGCTAGCTACCTCATTGCTAATGAAATCGCAGTGGCTTCAAAACCATTTAGTGAGGGTGAATTTGTAAAAACATGCATGATGAAGGCAGCTGAGATTGTGTGCCCTGAAAAGCGTCAGGCTTTTGTAAATATCAGCCTGACAAGAAACACAGTTGCAGACAGGATTTCCTATCTTTCAGTGGATTTGGACAGCCAGTTGAAGCAAAAAGTAAAGTCATTTATTGCTTTTCGGTTGCAATTGATGAAAGCACGGACATTATTACAGATGTTGCACAACTGGCCATTTTCATCCGCGGAGTTGATGACACATTGACCGTCACCGAGGAGTTCGTGGAGTTGGTGCCGATGACAGATACAACGACAGCAGCTGATATTTTTTACCGCACTCGTCGGCGCGCTGGACAGGGTCGGAGTGGACTGGTCCCGCGCTGTCAGCCTGGCTACAGATGGTGCGCCCTCAATGATTGTGAAAAAAGCAGGCGTTGTGACAAAGTTCAGAGAGAAAGTGCAATCTGCAAATGGAGGACGTGATTTTTTGACTTTTCACTGTATTTTGCACCAGGAGGCTTTGTGTTGCAAGTCATTAAAGATGGATAACTTCATGAAGGTGGTCATCCAAACTGTTAATTTCATCCGATCCAGAAGCCCGAATCACCGTCAGTTTGACAGCCTTCTCAGAGAGAAAGACCACATCTATGGCCTGCCATACCACACTGAGGTAAGATGGTTAAGCCGAGGTGCTGAGGCGTTTCTTTGATTTACGAGAAGAAATTGAACAGTGTTAGAATTCCATTCCGCAGAATGGATGCAGGACCTTGCATTTATGGTGGATGTTACAGAGCACCTGAATAACTTGAACAAACAGCTGCAAGGGCGCAACAAAGTTGTCACGCAGTATTATGACAGCATACGTTCTTTCAAGTTGAAGCTGTCATTGTGGGAGACGCAACTTGCCGGTGGTGATGCAGCTCACTTCCCCTGTCTGAAAAATGTGTGCGCTACCCAACATGTGGCAGACATGAAGCGGTTCAAAGATAAAATAACGGGACTGTTACGGGAGTTTGAGCAACGCTTTCAGATTTTTGGTGAACTGGAGAAAGACTTCAAAGTTTTTTGCTCGCCATTCACCGTGAATCCCTCTGATCTGCCCGTCAGCATCCAACTTGAAATAATAGACTTGCAGTGTGACTCGGATTTGAAGGGCAAATTTGCCGCAGCTGGCTTGGACACATTTAATCAGAATCTCTTGCCAGGTTACCCCAACTTGACAGCCCTCGCTGCAAAACTGTTGTGCATGTTTGGAACCACATATCTTTGTGAGCAAGTTTTCTCTGTAATGAGCATAAATAAAACAAAGCTGCGCTCAAGGCTCACGCACAAGCACTTGAATCACATCCTGAAGTTGGCTGCCACTCAGGATGTGACGCCTGATATTGATGCGCTGTGAAAGCTAAAAGATGCCAGGAATCAGGAGTCAAATAAACTATGCAACCCCACTTAAAGTGCTACATGAGACATCCTGATATAGTTCTGTGATATACTTCTGTGAATCACTGAGGCATTGTGTGTTTGTGTGTTCTTTGTCCTCAGAACTTTCAAATAACTTGAGGTGTTTTATGATTAATAGTGATGTTGTGCTTTTGGACACACTGTCCTCAGGCGCCAGCTTTATGTTTATATGTTTTTATGTTGATGTGCTATTGTTTTTAATTGATTTTATTTTATTTGTATATTTAACCTATTCTTGACTCTGTGGTTCTTGCACTTGTTTGGGGAACAGGATTTCATTCTTTTTATCTACATTTCTGCCTGAGAAATGACCCCCTGATATAGTTCTGTGATCTGTGAAACAGTTCTGTTAATCACTGAGGCATTGTGTGTTTGTGTTCTTTTTCTTTAGAATTTTCAAATAAACTTGACGTGTTTTATGATTAATAGTGATGTTGTGCTTGTACTATTTTGGACACGCTGTCCTCAGGCTCCAGCTTTATGTTGTATGTTGATCGTATTAAAACAAAGAAAACAATCTGAAGTTGTTGTTTTTAAGTTATATATACCATGATTTTTCCGGTCCGGCCCACTTGGGAATAGATTTTCCTCCATGTGGCCCCTGAGCTAAAATCAGTTTGACACCCCTGCTCTAGGAATTTGCCTGAGCTTAGCGCCATTCCGTTTCTTTTTATCCTGAAAAACTCCCCAGTCCTTAACGATTGCAAGGATACCCATAACATGATGCAGCAGCCACTATGCTTGAAAATATGGAGAGTGGTACTCGGTAATGTATTAGATTTGTCCCAAACATAACACTTTATATTCAGGACAAAAAATGTATTGCTTTTGCAGTATTACTTTAGTGCCATGTTGCAAACATGATGCATGTTTAGATTTTTTTTTTTCTGTACAGGCTTCCTTCTTTTCACTCTGTCAATTAGGTTAGTATTGTGGATTAACTACAGATCCATCTTCAGTTTTCTCCTATCACAGTCATTAAACTCTGTAACTGTTTAAAAGTCACCATTGGCCTTATGTTGAAATCCCTGAGAGTTAGGAAAAACGCCTGTATCCTTGTAGTGACTGGGTGTTTTGATACACCATCCAAATTGAAATGAATAACTTCACCATGCTCAAAAGGATATTCATTGTCTGCTTTTTTTTTTACGATCTACCAATAGGTGCCCTTCATTGTGAGGCTTTGGAAAACCTCCCTGATCTTTGAGGTTGAATCTGTGTTTGAAATTCATTGCTCGACTGAGGGACCTTACAGATAATTGTATGTGTGGGGTACAGAGATGAGGTAGTCATTAAAAAATCATGTTAAATGCTGTTATTGCACACAGCGTGAGTCCATGCAACTTATTATGTGACTTGCTAAGCATATTTTTACTCATGAACTTATTTAGGCTTGCCATAACAAAGGGGTTGAATACTTATTGACTCAAGACATTTCAGTTTGTCGTTTTTAATGAATTTGTAAACATTTTGAAAAACATTATTGTGCGTAGGCCAGTGACCAAAACAAATCTCTATTTAATCCATTTTAAATTCAGGCTGTAACACAACAAAATGTGGAAAATGTTAAGGGGTGTAAATACTTTCTGAAGACACTGTATCTTTGGGCCAATCTCGTTTGGAATTGCAGTGCAAAGATCTCTGCATGTTGTTATCTGTTTGTGTCTAATGTTATGACCCTGCTCCTGGCTCAGCATAAGGAACGTGATCAGTCGGAACGACGGCCAGGAGAAGGAGTGTGACGAGAGGGACGGCTGGTGTCTGTCCCACACCTCTGATGACCTCCGAGATATCATGTCCTCCATGATCAAGCAGGTTATCCGTGCCAAGAGGCCAGGTGAGACCTCTCTCTAACACTGGCGCAGCACTCACCTATGATCGACCTGGCCTGGAGTCAAACCACGGAGTTTGACTTCATGGTGAATAGGTGTTCAGTGTGTCTTGAATGAGAACCCCCTGGTCGGGGATAAAACTGTTACAGTACACAACAAGTGATGACTACAGTCCTTCCCACATGTCAAGTTGCTGTTTATTAATGTTCAGATGTGGTGCTGTGAAAAATAGTTTTAATGCCTAATTTAGATATTTTTTGCATAGAATTTCCGACATTTGATATGCAATTTTGTTACTCAAGTTGTCTATATTGAAATAGATGCAACTTCTCTTCTATAATTTCTTGTTGCCCTAGACCAGGGTTTCCCAAACTCAGCCCCCCCCGCCCTAGAAACCCTGCCCTAGACGTCTAAATAATGCCTTGCTCACCCAAATAATGTAAAATCGATAGGATTCTCTTTAATTTATTATTCTCTCATGGAGCGAGGACGTTAAGTGATTGGGGAGAAAATGCAATAACTCTAAAACAGAGGAAAGATTTTCCGTTCAAAATGTCTATATGTCATCAGTTTGACCTGTTTTAAGGAAATAAAAGGCTGGGAAAACGATCCAACTTATTTCTGATAATATTACAGTTCTACTTGGATGCATATTTTATGTGGTTGGTTGGAAGGAATACTGCCAGCTTTTATATTGCTGAAAAAGTTAGCATTTGTACATAGACCCTAACCGCAAATTCACTTTATCTCAAGATGCTGAAAGAAATAAATCATGTTTCTACACTCCTGTTCTTGAGGCAAAATTAACATTTGGTGTATGATTTTACTGCAAGAAATTCTTAATTCTGCAGGAGTTAATATTATATTAGGCTACATGTGAGAGGTTATAGGCCTACAGTCAGTGTCCAGACTTTAGTTACTTTTCCATTTCACTCATCTGAACTTCAATGGTTCGCTGACCAGGGGGTTCGGCTGCACCTTCCGCACCCCTACTTCCGCTGTCCCTGATGTGAACTGGTGTGGTCCAAGATTAATCATACTGTAGGCCCAGTCACCATGATAATACTTTCCTCTAGCTCTGGACAAGAGTTCCCCACTGCCGGTGTGAAAGTGTAGGAACAATAAGGAGTGCATCTATGCTGAACAAAAATGTCAACGCAACAGGCAACAACTTCAAACAGTTTACTGAGTTACAGTTCATATAAGGAAATCAGTCAATTGAAATACATTAATTAGGCTGTAATATATGGATTTCACATGACTGGGAATACAGATATGCATCTGTTGGTCACAGATACCTTAAAAAAAGAATTAGGGGCATGGATCAGAAAATGGGGCCCTGCATTATCATGCTGAAACATGAGGTGATAGCAGCTCTGTGCATTCAAATTGCCATCGCTAAAATGCAATTGTGTTCGTTGTCCATAGCTTATGCCTGCCCATACCATAACTTCACCGCCACCATTGGGCAATCTGTTCACAACGTTGACATCAGCCAGCTGCTCGCCCACATGACGCCATACATGTGGTTGTGAGGCCGGTTGGACGTAATGCCAAATTCTCTAAAACGATATTGGAGGCGACTTATGGTAGAAAAATTAACAGTACATTTTCTGCCAACAGCTCTGGTGGACATTCCTGCAGTCAGAATACCAATTGCACGCTCCCTCAATTTGAGACATCTGGCAGTGTGTTGTGTGTCAAAACGGCACATTTTGGAGGGGCCTTTTGTCCCCAGCACAAGGTGCACCTGTGTAATGATCATGCTGTTCAATCAGCTTCTTGATATGCCACACCTGTCAGGTGGATGGATTATCTTTGCAAAGGAGAAATGCTCACTAACAGGGATTTAAACACATTTTTGTTCAGTATAGTATGTTAATGACGTGCATCAATTTGTCCATTAAATAAGTGAGTTTATGTGAGTATACAGTGTATCTTTTGTTGTTGATGTAAGATTTACATCAATTATGGGGTCATTATGAATGTTTTAGTTTTTTCTATGTCCATCATACAGTATATCTGTGCTTTTTGCAGCTCCTTACTCTTCTGGGCCTGAGAGTTCTGTTACCAGGCGAAAGACCCCAGAGAGTGGAGAGGAGGATGATGAAGAGGAGGATGAGGAAGATGAGTTTCATCCCTCAGAGGGGAGTGACAATGAGATGCAGACAGAGATGCTGGATTATATGTGAGGATGGACACGATCCATCCCTGCCTTAACAAATGGACTGTGGAATTGTACAAACTTCCTTCGTTCACTGTAAAAACGTACATTTTTGTGTATTTGCGAATTAGTGTGAATAAATGTGTTTAAGTTGAGGAGTGAACTTTTCCCCCTTTTTATTGTCCACAATGAAAAAATTCATTCAGGATAAGTGTATCAGTTATCAATAAGCTATCAGTTGGTGAGGTTCTGGCTGTGCACATAACCATAACCAATGGAAAAAGTGACAGGAAACACTTTCAACACACCTCTAAAAATAGCATATGTCTGCTAACTCTGTCACCATGCATACTACTGCCCACACCCAAGGTCACATACCTGTATACCATCCACCAGGATACCATTTGTTTTGCTGTCTGTGCATATTCTCTGACACCTAACTCATCTATAAATTGTATAGATTGCATTACATGAGCTGCAAAATATTTAGTAATACGATGGGGTCTGATTTGTATTTATTATGGATTCCCATTAGCTGCTTCCAAGGCAGCAGCTACTCTTCCTAGGGTCTTGCAAAATTAAGGCAGTTATACCATTTTTAAAACATTACAATATATTCACATCAGATTTCACAACACATTAAGTGTGTGCCCTCAGGCCACTACTCTACTACCACATATCTATAACACAAATCCATGTGTGTATAGTGTGTATGTTATTGTGTGTTTGTATGCATGTCTATGTTTGTGTTGCTTCACGGTCCCCGCTGTTCCATAAGGTGTATTTTTATCTGTTTTTTACATTTAATTTTACTGCTGGCATGAGTTACTTGATGTGGAATAGAGTTCCATGTAGCCTTTGCTCTATGTAGTACTGTGCGCCTCCCATAGTCTGTTCTGGACTTGGGGACTGTGAAGAGACCTCTGGTGGCATGTCTTGTGGGGTATGCCTGGGTGTCCGAGCTGTGTGCCAGTAGTTCACAGACAGCTCGGTGCATTCAACATGTCAATACCTCTCACAAATACAAGTAGTGATGAAGTCAATCTCTCCTCCACTTTGAGCCAGGAGAGATTGACATTATTAATGTTAGCTCTCTGTGTACATCCAAGGGCCAGCCGTGCTGCCCTGTTCTAAGCCAATTGCAATTTCCCTAAGTCCCTCTTTGTGGCACCTGACCACATGACAGAACAGTAGTCCAGGTGCGACAAATCTAGGGCCTGTAGGACCTGTCTTGTTGATAGTGCTGTTAAGAATGCAGAGCAGCGCTTTTCTCCTGTTATGATTGCAAGTAAAGATACTGTAGGTACGGATATGCCATTCGGCTTGGGTCCTCCATCCTCAGCATTAACTGGTTGGCAAATGCTAATGTAGAAAATACAATGTACTAATCAATCAATTTTATCAATCAATTTTATTTTATATAGCCCTTCTTACATCAGCTAATATCTCGAAGTGCTGTACAGAAACCCAGCCTAAAACCCCAAACAGCTAGTAATGCAGGTGTAGAAGCATGGTGGCTAGGAAAAACTCCCTAGAAAGGCCAAAACCTAGGAAGAAACCTAGAGAGGAACCAGGCTATGATGGGTGGCCAGTCCTCTTCTGGCTGTGCCGGGTGGAGATTATAACAGAACCATGCCAAGATGTTCAAAAATGTTCATAAGTGACAAGCATGGTCAAATAATAATCAGGAATAAATCTCAGTTGGCTTTTCATAGCCGATCATTAAGAGTTGAAAACAGCAGGTCTGGGACAGGTAGGGGTTCCATAACCGCAGGCAGAACAGTTGAAACTGGAATAGCAGCAAGGCCAGGCGGACTGGGGACAGCAAGGAGTCACCACGGCCGGTAGTCCCGACGTATGGTCCTAGGGCTCAGGTCTCTCAGTTGGCTTTTCATAGCCGATCATTAAGAGTTGAAAACAGCAGGTCTGGGACAGGTAGGGGTTTCGTAACCGCAGGCAGAACAGTTGAAACTGGAATAGCAGCAAGGCCAGGCGGACTGGGGACAGCAAGGTGTCATCATGCCCGGTAGTCCTGACGTATGGTCCTAGGGCTCAGGTTCTCAGAGAGAAAGAGAGAACGAGAGAATTAGAGAGAGCATACTTAAATTCACACAGGACACTGGATAAGACAGGAGAAGTACTCCAGGTATAACCAACTAACCCCAGCCCCCCGACACATAAACTACTGCAGCATAAATACTGGAGGCTGAGACAGGAGCGGTCCGGAGACACTGTGGCCCCATCCGAAGAAACCCCCGGACAGGGCCAAACAGGAAGGATATAACCCCACCCACCAAAGCACAGCCCCCGCACCACTAGAGGGATATCCTCAACCACCAACTTACAATCCTGAGACAAGGCCGAGTATAGCCCACAGAGGTCTCCACCACAGCACAAACCAAGGGGGGGCGCCAACCCAGACAGGAAGATCACGTCAGTAACTCAACCCACTCAAGTGACGCACCCCTCCTAGGGACGGCATGAAAGAGCACCAGCAAGCCAGTGACTCAGCCCCTGTAACAGGGTTAGAGGCAGAGAACCCCAGTGGAGAGAGGGGAACCGGCCTGGCAGAGACAGCAAGGGCTGTTCGTTGCTCCAGAGCCTTTCCGTTCACCTTCACACTCCTGGGCCAGACTACACTCAATCATATGACCTACTGAAGAGATAAGTCTTCAGTAAAGACTTAAAGGTTGAGACCGAGTCTGCGTCTCTCACATGGGTAGGCAGACTGTTCCATAAAAATGGAGATCTATAGGAGAAAGCCCTGCCTCCCGCTGTTTGCTTAGAAATTCTAGGGACAATTAGGAGGCCTGCGTCTTGTGACCGTAGCGTACGTATTGGTATGTACGGCAGGACCAACTCGGAAAGATAGGTAGGAGCAAGCCCATGTAACGCTTTATAGGTTAACAGTAAAACCTTGAAATCAGCCCTTGCCTTAACAGGAAGCCAGTGTAGGGAAGCTAGCACTGGAGTAATATGATCAAATTTCTTGGTTCTAGTCAGGATTCTAGCAGCCGTATTTAGCACTAACTGAAGTTTATTTAGTGCTTTATCCGGGTAGCCGGAAAGTAGAGCATTGCAGTAGTCTAACCTAGAAGTAACAAATGCATGGATTAATTTTTCTGCATCATTTTTGGACAGAAAATTTCTGATTTTTGCAATGTTACGTAGATGGAAAAAAGCTGTCCTTGAAACAGTCTTGATATGTTCGTCAAAAGAGAGATCAGGGTCAAGAGTAACGCTGAGGTCCTTCACAGTTTTATTTGAGACGACTTTACAACCATCAAGATGAATTGTCAGATTTAACAGAAGATCTCTTTGTTTCTTGGGACCTAGAACAAGCATCTCTGTTTTGTCCGAGTTTAAAAGTAGAAAGTTTTCAGCCATCCACTTCCTTATGTCTGAAACACAGGCTTCTAGTGAGGGCAATTTTGGGGCTTCACCATGTTTCATTGAAATGTACAGCTGTGTGTCATCCGCATAGCAGTGAAAGTTAACATTATGTTTTCGAATAACATCCCCAAGAGGTAAAATATATAGTGAAAACAATAGTGGTCCTAAAACGGAACCTTGAGGAACACCGAAATGTACAGTTGATTTGTCGGAGGACAGACCATTCACAGAGACAAACTGATATCTTTCCGACAGGTAAGATCTAAACCAGGCCAGAACTTGTCCGTGTAGACCAATTTGGGTTTCCAGTCTCTCCAAAAGAATGTGGTGATCGATGGTGTCAAAGGCAGCACTAAGGTCTAGTAGCACGAGGACAGATGCAGAGCCTCGGTCTGATGCCATTAAAAGGTCATTTACCACCTTCACAAGTGCAGTCTCACTAATTCGAGTTTGATTGAACTTTACCGCCACACAGACACTCTCTCACCATAACAACGGACTGATCCGCAGGGCAGCCCACCTCTTCACTGGCCTGGACGTCCCCGATATCAACAGGCCAAGTCTAAACGTCCCTGTGTGAGTGGCTATGGGCTGATTGGTTACCTGGGAGGAAGAGGGCACTCTGTTCGGTGTTGGCCATGTGCATGGTGTAGCTTAAATGGGACAGCAGATTTTACAGAACAAACTGAGACTAGCTAACAAGTAGGAGTAGAATCTAATAATAAAGGATAGGGTTATCACTTCAGCCAGGTCCCTAACACAGTGAGCTTCAGAAGGGGTTGTTATCTGTTGAGCCTAATCTCTAGGGTGTCCAATCCAAAATTCATATTTTGACCAATGGGTAATATTTGTTAATGTTGTAGATACTCCTCTAAGAAAACCAATGGTCCAAACCTCATGTCTCTACCAATATCCGTTCAAAAGTTGACATTTTTACCCTTGTATGATGGCCAAAATTAATCTAAATCAAAAGTCAAAAATAAGGAAAATGGCACAGCATCGCATCAGCTAAGCTGGATGCTGTGCAGGAACGAAGGCTACCTGACAGGCTCACTTTCCCGTTGAACTCGCCATTTTTCTTCTCAAATCCACAGGACATTAAACAATATAGAGGTAAGATAGATATTGATTTTGAGACATGACCTGTATTTTTTCATATTTTAGTGTACGCTTTTCATATTAATGCGAAATTGCTGTTCTTTTTTTTTTGAAGATTTCTAACAAAAATAAGCATATCTCTGTGAAATGTCAACAGAGCACTGAGCGTACCAAAGCTTTTTATTTTCAAAGCCTTTTACATTCAGCTCGTGTCATGCTAATTTAGCTTTTTGCAACCCGCGGAAAAACTTTGAAGACTACCACTACAACAACTAAAATCCTCAAAAGTTTCTGCGAGAAAGCTGCACCGCGCTGCCAACAGAGCTCGGAGTTTGTTATCGGCTGTATAAGGTTACGAAATCTGACTTCATGGATATACTGTTAATGAAATGTTAGAGAAAGACGCCACTGAACAATTCAGAACATGAACTATCATATTTGTCTTCGTGAAATTTCATCAGAAATGTGTGTTTTCACCCTCTCTGGGCATAGTGGGTGGACACCCTAAAATATCTCTCTTTCTCTTTCTCACTGCAGGTCAGACGTGAAACTGCTCCTGGGTTCTTTGATTAAGAAGGGAGAGGCCGCTACCAACAACGCTTTTGCAGAGTACACGGCCGACTGGGGAGACAAGCCTAGCCAGAACACAATCAAGAAGACCGTTGTTATGATCGAAACTGACTACATCTTCCTA